AGATTCTAGGGAGATAATACCAATTCCACAACAAGTTTGCAACATAGAAGAAAATCAACTGCAGAATAAACAAGTTCCAATTCCTGAACAAGTAGTACAAGTACCAATTCCAGAAGAAGTAGCACAAGTTCGAGACACAGAAGAATATCAACAGGAAAACAGTGTTGAGAATAATCAAGTTCCACTTCCTGAACACCTACCTGATGTACCAATTCAAGAGAAAGATGTTAGAAGGCACATTAATTATGACTATTTGAGAAGAGTAAATGAGAAAGTGACACAATTTCCTAGTTTCACCCATGTCAGAAGGAAGAACAGAGTGATTGAAGATGCCTTTAAAAATATTGGAGAAATCAAAAAAGCTAATTGTGCAAAAAGGATGCCCTACTTTAGTACTCAACATTATCATTTATTGATTATTACAGATGATACCTTTCAAAGAATATCACCAAAACAAGTTTTCAAACTAAAGTATCCAATTATAGGAAATAAGAGAAAGATGTTATTCATCCAAATCCAAGATTTAACATTTCTGGACATAGTTTCAATTTTAGAAAATTGGACTCTCTCCTTTGATAGAGTCTTCTTCTTCACCAAAGATCAGCCTATAAAGCCCTCTACAAAATTCAAAATACAGCCAGTCAAGTTAGAAAAGATAATCTTTTTAAATCATTATTTTACTACACATTATGAAAAAAGGCTGAAAGATGATCAAATGAATTTTGTTTCCATACCAAAGAAGCTTGAGCAGAAGATGATAAAACCGAAAGGTGGATTCAATGGACTTGAAGATAAAGAAGATCAGAAGCTCTTACTTGAACACTTGTTTGATAAATTATAACTATTTACCATATAATTTGTATTGTCATTAGGTGTTGTATATATTTAAAACATTTGTTAGCTTTTTCCAAACATTTTCTAACATTTTATTTAGTTTTTCATGTCTGTAATACATAAGTAAATTGTTTTACACTCATTTTGATTCAAATTTCAACAAAATCACTCAACTAATAGCTCAGAAAAGTTCACTTGAAAAAGACAAATTTTTTATTATTTAACAAAATATTTGTTCGACTTTAAGGAGCTTCTCCCTTTTTTCTTTGTGAATTTTAATGAATTAGGTTTTTTAAAATATAGCATAATTTGTAAGCTTCAATATAGAAATAACTTTGCTAACATTAGAATCATCCTTTATACCATTTATTTAGCTTTAATGAAGTCACTGTATGATCCTCTCTTATTCTTTGTATCCAAATTGAATTTATTATGAATACATGTTCATTCTTTACTTTAGAATATATTTGCTGTAGTTTTCCTAACCCTAATTGTAGCCCTTAACCCTAACAAAAAAAATTGGAAAATGCATTAATTAACCAAACCCTAAATGAATTCATTTAATCATTTTGGATTAATAATTTACATGGAAAGAATCACTTTATTTTAACTATTACTTTAAAGTAGTTATACAAAAGTAGATTATTAATACATATTTAATTTTAAGTGTCAATAGGACAGAGGTGACACTTTCACTTAATTACCTTTAATAGAAATCTTTATCTTGGAAGGTGTAAGACAAAGAGTGACAAATGCTGACATCATTAATTGAACATTGTCAGGGGCTTTTCTTGACATGGGGGTCTTCTCTGCCCATGGATATATAAACTGTATTGTTGCTCATTCTGGCATTCGTCACCATTGAGGAAAGACTACTTGCTTTGGACTATTCTCTCTGTTGGAAGTGAGGTTTTATTTCTCTTTTTCCAACTTTTTCAGTATGACTAGTTGGGTTAATATATACATATTATATATCATTAGAATCATCTTTTCAAGCCCTATAACCTAGTGTACAAGTCAACATGATTTGATTGAAAAAAATTATGTGTAAAATTTTTTTATCGTCATGTAGAATATGAGGTTATACTGCTTACATTTGCTAAGTAAGTTATTTGATTAAAGTGCATGTATTTGATATATATTATACTCATACATTAATTCTCTTTTGTACTCCTTACAGATTCCATGCTTTCTGATAGCATCTTCTTACAATTTGTACATTTTTGGGATCTACTTTGGTGAGTTTCATTCAAGATGTTTCCTCTGTTTTTAAACTTGAGTTTGAATTTCTTTTTCCCAACAGTTTATCATCATCTTAGATATGTTTGATGCAAGTAAAGCAATATATCTGTTTATAAAAATTAACCATTATTATGTTTATTTTCTACACAGATAATATCCTTATTTTTCTTTACATTTCAACATTTGATATTATTGGATTTTACATTAGAGTTCATTGAAATACACCAGGTGTGATTGACTTTTTTTCAATTGATTATTCTTTTGCTTTCTGCAACAGTTAAATCAATTTTTGAATGTAAATAATTTACAATAACTATCATTTTTCATCTTTTTAATAATATTTTATCTTATTCTGTATAGAATCAACACCTTACTGATTTCAGTTCGATTTTGAACAGTTGTTGTATTAAAACTCCTGCTTCCCCTGTATCTAAAATTGTTTAAAGAAAGTGTTAAGTTGTTTGCATTCACTCACAGTAAGTAAAAAGTTCATTTAATTCAACTTTTTTTGTATCAAATGTTCAACAAGTATATACATATTATATATCATTAGAATTGTCTTTTAATGGCCTTTAACACCATATATATACCAACACTATACATCAGAAAAAAATTTTAGGCACAAAAAATATTCAACTTTAAAGAAATTGAGACATTGTATATATTCTTGTTCAATATATTTCTACTTGATCTTTGAAATCAATTTGAATGAAATTCTGGTCTGCTTAATCAAAATTTAAGAGAATGTCAAATATTCTGTAAGAGTAAGTAAAAAATTCATTAAATCTACTTTTTTTGGCATAAATTCTTGAACAATTTAACATGTTTAAACAATATATCAATAGATTTGGCAAAAATGAAACCTACTCTGTCATACAAATTTTAAAAGAAGAATTAACTGACTTTGGTTCTTATGTATCTGCCTTGAAAGAAATCTAATTGCTCAAAGGTAGGTTGTTTTTGTTGTGCTTTCAATTATTTTGTGTCTTTAAAGAGAATTCAAGGCTGTTGCTGTGAATTCTCTGAGTATTATTAAAATTTTATCTGTGCATAGAAATGTATACAATTATATTGTAATGATATTCTTCCATTTACACAAAAATTGTTACAACTTTATTATAGAATATATTGGATTATTTTTATATATGTCATCACTTGAATTCTATGGCTTTTGCTATAAACATGCAAGTTGAAAACATCTAGAAAATAAATAGTTCAATTTTCTTAGCAAATTTAAAATTATACATCTTTTTCTTTTATTTCCAAAGAAATATTAAGCTTATGGTAAATTAATTTCAACAAAATAAATCTTTGTTTTCTTTAAATTGCCATTGACATTCTCAGTTTTTGTTTCTTTTAAGGAGTTAAAATATAAAATTCATTGATTTGGCTTTATTTCAGCTAAAGATTTAAACTTTATTAATCTGTCCTTAACAAAATTCTCCATCTTTTTTTGAAACAGAGATTTTATTCAATCGATTATGCTTTTAAAGTATTTGATATTGACTCTGTGAATCTAAACAATAGATTTAATGTTGATTGATTTGGCTTTATTTTAGCTAATGATATAAACTTTTTAAATCTATAGTTTCTGTAATAAAACTAATTTCTCTCCCTTCATCACGGTTTTTTCTCAGTTATAAAATTTAGCATTTTCACAAATATTTCAAACAAAGAACTTTTGGAATCAATGTTAATTGATTTGGCTTTATTTTTGCTAATGATCTTGACTTTACAAATCTATAATTTCTTTAACAAAATTTTTGTGTTATAGATTCAATTTAAATGATCTTGCTTTTAAAGTAATTGATTTTGACTTTGTCCATCTATAATACAATCATTTAAATCTACAGTTTCACCATTTTTTGATTTTAGGAAATAAATATTTAATCTGAAATAATTCAACTTTGGTTATTTAATTTCAATTTTGAGAATCTTTTATATCTTTTCAACAATTCTTTTTTTCATTTTTCTTTATGTATTTGAAAGGGAAGAGTATCACTTTTAATTTTAACTCTTTGATTCTTGCTTGTTACTTTTTTACTTTTTATTCCTTACATTTTACTGTTTGCATTATAATTAGGGTTAGGTTATATTGCTTTTTTGTTTTGCCTATTGCTTTTTGCTTACATTAACACATTATTGAATATGTATTTATGTTTTCCTTTTTTTTAATGCAAACAAGAATATTGAATTCTAAACTGAAGAAGATATAACACAAGGGAAAAATCAATCAACCCCATTAGTGGTTCTATCCTATCATCTTTAAAGAGATGGAATGTTTCAAATTCAATACCAATACATTATAATTTGATTTCAATGAGTCAGGGTTAGCAGCAAGTAAATAATGAACAATGTAGATTTTTTTTTTAATAGAACAAGTTTTCATGAACTGTACACAATGCATCATTAATATCAAATAATATTTCCACAATACAACAGAATAATTCATGATATTTATCAAATAAATCTTTTAGTTTTTGTTTATCAGATTGATTTAATTCTAAAGCCATTTCCATGAATTCTTCTTCTTCTTCCACCAATTTATTAAAAACAAAATGCACTTGCTTAATGGTTAGCGAATCTTCAAATCCAAGTCCAGCTATTTCATCTTTAACAATTATTAAATAATACAGCTTATTCTCAATCAAGTATTCAAAGTCACTCATCTTTGAAAAGGAAAAAATATTAAGTTAATTCAGTATTTGTTTTACCAAAATTTGTATTGAGAATAGATAACTATAAACATCAAACTAAAGGCTAAACTAAAAAAACCTTTTGTTCCACAAAACTTTTAAAACTGTTACTAAAAATTACAATGTCAAATAATTAGTTTAGAATATGTGTTTGGTATTTTTCTTCACATTTTCAATATGTCTATCAACAAGTACTTTTAAATCTGGCTTTTCAAGTAATGAATCAGGATTTATTCTTGATAAAAAGTGAATTATTTTAATGTAAGGGTTAACTAGTGTTACTAGTCTATTTTGCAGTTGAAAAGTTTCAATAAATTTGTTTTTTAAGCAATTCTTTTCATCCAATTCAACCAAAAGATCACAATTTCTATATGGGAAATTGCAATGTCTGTTTGAATTATTAATGTTGATAGTTATACATATGAATAGCTTATTAGCAGAACTAATTTCTTTAAAATTTTGAAAAAATTCATCAACATAATTATTGATAACAATTGGATGTTCTGGTAAATGGATAACTATTTGTTGGCATTCTATTTCCCAATCTTTAAAGATATTTGGAAGATCACTAGCACACAAATCCTCAATATGAATTATACACAATACACCATCCAAACCAAACTTAAGAATATTTACTGCTAATGCAGCTTTATCATAATCAAAACTTGTGTCTGTGATTATTAGATATTTACACTTTATACCTTTTTCTGGTTTTACTTGTCTAATTAATTTTGCAATATCTATGCCTACAATAGATTTTCCATCACAGTAATTTTGTAAAAAATTAATGAAAGAATCACTTTTTCTTCTAACAAAGACAATTAAACTACTATCTAACTTAATATCATCACACTTTTGTTGATGTAGTAATTTCTTTTTTAAAGGTTCAGCAAGGCTTTTATCTAAACTTGTTAAATCTCCAAGATAGCTTTTTTTAGGGAGTTTCTTATCTATTACTTCATCTGATGACTGTGTACAACTTTGGTTATATTTTACATGCTTGAACTCTATTATTTTATGCAACATATACATGTACATCTTAAAACCTACGCAAGAAAATGCTATAACATTGGCCAAACATAAGTCTGATTAGTCAGCTTGAAGGCTCATCTTTAATTACCAATAAAGGTTTGGCCAAGTTATAATTTAATTAACTTGCCTAGGGTGTGGCCAAGTTATAATTCAATTAACCTTCCTAAATGTTGAACCTTGTAACATCCTGTTACTAAAGATAAATATGAACTACACATTTCGGCAACTGTAAAGTGATGATTGGATGTCAGAGACAAACCTCAAAGTATATAAATTCTCATTATTCTCATTTGGCATGCAGCTTCCATCTGGACCCAAGGACCTGGGAAAATCATCTGGAAACAACCTCCACTGGAACCATCCATCTACTCCTCAACATTGGAAGACAGTTTGGTAATTTGGCAACCTGCTATTACAAACTATCTACTCTGCTATTGAACTCTCACATTGTTACTTGCTTAAGTATTATTATTGCGAATAAACCGTTTTAATTTAAACATTTGTTTAAAGGTTCGAGTAGAACCAGTATTGTTATAACTTGCAAACGCATAGATTTTGCCAGCAAGAGCAGTACAAATTTGGCTCAGTCGACAGGATATTCTTTTGGTTTATTCAAAAGTTTTTGAGAAAGTAAATATGGCAGAAGAAGGAAATGGAAACGCCACTGGGGCAGTTACAGACTCTAACCCTTCAACCCCAGCAACTCCAACAATTACAATTCAGCCAGCAGGAATGTCAGAAAGGCAACAAAGACTAATTGAAGACTATGATAGATTGGTGAGTGAAATGAAAAGAAATCGAATCACAATTCCAACAGATCATGGAGATGGAACACATCACCCAGCACAGAACCCAAATGTTGATATCACAACAGTAATTCAAGCATTAAGGGCTGCTTGGGACCGCCCTCAAAGAACTATTCTCAAGTTGTATGATGGAAGCAAGGAGTGTTCAAAATTCAAAGAAGACTTTAATCAGGCATGTTATGCTTATGGTTGGATAGGAGAAGATGTTGTGAAAGCAAATCTTTTAGATTATTTAACTGGTCCTGCAAAGGATTTGGTGTTGGCTCTGGATGGAGAGCCTACTGTGGAGGAAATATGGAAAGCCCTCCATGACGAATTTGATCTAGATCCTTTGGAGTATCAGGAGAAATTGCTTAACTTAAAGCAAATGAATGGCGAAAGTGTGGTTCAGTTTGTTAATAGAGCAAAGAAATTGATAAAGAGGTTTTCTTCCACCTAGACCAATGGAACCACAATTGCTTGCAACTATGAAAGAAATAAAACTGATGGAAGTTTTACAAAGAGGATACAACAGGATATTCTACATTTAGTGTACACCTTACATCCTAAATGTCAAACATTGGCAGAACTATATGAGGCTGCTAAGCAAGCAGAAACTTCATTAAAACTAACTCAAAGAAAACCTATCACAATGGTGTCAAAATTGGAAACTCAACAAAGAAAAGAGACCAAAAAGACCCAGGTAATCAGAAAAGATGCTTCTACAGAAACCCCAAATTTCTGGAATAGAAAGCATGTACCTGACAACAAAAATGCTACTAAAGAAAAGTTTTCAAGCCAAAAAGTCCAAAAGTATGCACCAACTACAACAAATAGGTATTATAAGAAAAATCAACCAGCAAAGACGATACTGAAAGAGGAACCTAAGCTACAAAAATTAGAAACATTAGACAATGAAAGCATGTCAGAAAACGACGAAGTTCAAGATATTCTCTGTTTTTCAGATAGTGACGAATCCACTTGTCAGCTGTTACAAAGCAAACAATCTGAGCGAAATGCTTCAACATTTATTGGACAATTTGAAACTAATACTGGTTTTAAGTTTGATGCCTTGATAGACTCTGGTAGTGACAGATCTTTCATTTCAAAAAAGGTATTAAGACAAGTTCAAGGAAAAGCATCCTTCCCAGAACAAACTGTGAAAAATGCTAGAGATGCTTCAGGAAATAGCATCAGATATGTGGAGAAATCATTCTCAGACTTTATTTTAATGAAAAGATTATTAAACAACGCTTTCTGATCAACAAAATCATTACACAACAATGTATTATTGGGTGTGACTTTCTACAACAAAATGGAGCTACCCTTGACTTTGGCAAGAGACAGATTATACTCCAGCCAGGTACAGAAAAGAATTACCCTGTTGGAACACAACACTTATCTTTCAAAGGGTTTTACCCAGTTCCTCTTATTATGAAAAAGAATGAGAGTCAAATACATACCCTTCAGACAACAATTGAACAAGAAAATCCTGAGATGAAGAACAAAGTTACCCAAATTCTGGCAAAATATAAAGAAACTATTGCAGAAGACAGATTTGATATTGGCAATCCAGAGGTACCACCCTTGGAAATAACTCTTGAACCAGGTTCAACACCATATAGACAAAGGCCATATAGAATGCCTCCTCAAAAACAAGAAGAATGTAAGCAACAGATAGCTGAATTGGTAAAAGCAAAGTTATTCAACCAAGCAAGAGCAATTGGGCTTCACCAATTGTTTTCGTAAGAAAGAAGGAAGGTAGTCTACGAATGTGTGTAGATTATAGAAAACTAAACAAAATGACAGTTAAAAACAAGTATCCACTGCCAAATCAGATGATCTTTTTGACCATTTGGGAGGAGGAAATAAATTCTTTTCTACAATGGATTTGACAAGTGCATACCACCACATTAACATCAAGAAAGAAGATAGGTCTAAAACAGCATTTATTACACCTTTTGGCTTGTTTGAATTTATTAAGATGCCTTTTGGATTAACCAATGCCCCTCCTCATTTTAGTTATGTAATGAATTCATTTGTGCTAAAGGATGTAAAGCATTTGTGCCTAAACTACCTTGATGACATAATAATATTTACCAAGTCGCTGGACCAACATTGGAAGCATTGGAGACCATTCTTCAACAGATTCAAAAGTACAATTTAAGATTAAACTAAGTAAATGTGTGTTTTTGAAAGAACAAGTTCAATTCTTGGGACACATTGTATCAGAAAAGGGGATTGAAACAGATAAGTCCAAGACAGATAAATTATATAATTTACAGCCACCAGTGTTTGCAAATTCACTACTAAGCTTTGGTTGCATTTGTGGCTATTACAGAAAATTTATACAAGATTTTGCAAGAGTAGCTAAACCTCTGTATATGTTAATGAAACTACATGGGAAAAAGGATAAATTGCAATGGACTGAGGAAGCCAAGCAATCATTTTTCAAGTTGAGAGATGCAGTAGTTAACCCTCCTGTATTACAACTACCTGATTTTGCTAAAGATTTTCACTTAACAACAGATGCATCGAATGTAGCTGTAGGAGGAGTTCTTGAACAAGTTTATGTAGATGAGAATGGGAAGAAAACAATGAAACCCATTGCCTACGCTTCAAAACAATTCAACAATAATCAAATGAAATATGCAGCCTATCAAAAGGAAGCATTTGGGGTTTACTGGGTTGTAAAGAAATTTTTACATTACTTCAAGACAAGCCATTCTTTTATATACTGACCATCAGAGTCTAGTACAAACATTTAAGCAAAACAAATTGGAATGTCAGCACAGCAAAATGGTCATGGCTTTAATGGATTTAAAATTTACAATTAACTATGTGACAGGACGAAAAAATAGAGCAGATGCATAACAAGATTAGAAGAATATACACCCCCAAGGAAAGTAACATTTGAAGAGCTAATTCATGGAAAGATCAAAAAGGAGAATTCTCCCCTATTTCAGTTAAAATGGAACAGTATGAACATACACCAGAGTTAACTTTTGTAGCTACCAGTGATAACAGTGAAGAGAAAATTGATTTGTCTTCTGTTGACTTACAGTCAGAGCAAGAAAAAGATGTGAATTTAAAATCAATTAAAGAATATTTAACATTGGATGGTCAGCTACCTATTCCTTATTTTGGAACTTTTACACCTTTCATAATGGAGATGTTTGTTCACAAGGAAATGATCTGGATTATCCTTGAAGAAAGAAACATTCTGGTTTTACCTGACCATTTGATGCTAACTCTGCTCCCTAAATTCCATAAAATAAAATTCACAATCACCATGGACCCAGAATGACATTACAATAATTACAAAGACCTTTGGCACCCAAAATTAAAGATTATGATTGAGAATTCAATAAAGGATGCACTTGTGTGAACAAATGAATGGTAGGAGTAGAGTATACCCTTTGGTAGAAACCTTTCACCCTGCATCACCAATGGAGTTGGTAGCCATGGATATAATGGGACCCTTACCCATGGTTAAGTCATACAGATTCATACTTGTGATAGTGGATCATTTCAGTAGATACACAGTTTTATATGCACTCAAACAGCAAACCAGTAAAGAAATTGCAAACCTTCTTTTCAACAGATTTTTTCCCATTTTTGGAATTCCAAAACAAATGTTGACAGATCAAGGAAGAAACTTTGTTGGTAAAGCTTTTAAAGAGTTTATGAAGTATTAGGTATTGAGAAAATCCAAACAACAGCTTATAGAAGCCAGAGCAATGGACTAGTTGAACGAAGAAATAGAGAAGTGAGGAAGGAAATCAATAAATTAGTGGTGGAAGAAAATCAGCATAACTGGGTTGCAAACCTACCCTTGATTCAAGCATTTTTGAATCAATCACCTGTAGGAAGTACAAGACTACCACCCCAGGAACTTCTTTTTGGCACCAGCACAAGAACACTGATT